GGAGCTAATCTTGGGGGACACATCAAAGGGGGTTCAAACACGATCTTCTTTTAAAAATTTTTGTGCCAACGCCGCCTTTCTCTCCCAAATTGAACCCAAATGTGTTGATAAAGCCATGAAAGATGATTCATGGATTATCGCAATGCAAGATGAATTGAATCAATTTGAGAGAAATGATGTGTGGACGCTTGTTCCTAGGCCAAATGACCATTTAGTTATTGGTACTAAATGGGTCTTTAGAAACAAGCAAGATGAAAATGGTATCGTGGTTAGAAACAAGGCTAGATTAGTGGCCAAAGGTTTCAACCAAGAAGAAGGTATCGATTATGAAGAAACCTTCGCTCTTGTGGCTCGATTAGAAGCCATAAGGATGCTCCTTGCCTACGCTAGTAGTAATAATTTTAAGTTGTTTCAAATGGATGTTAAAAGCGCTTTTCTTAATGGCTTTATTTCCGAAGAAGTCTATGTTGAACAACCTCCTGGATTTGAAAATAATAGTCTCCCTAATCATATGTTTAGATTAACTAAAGCTCTCTATGGTTTAAAACAAGCTCCAAGGGCTTGGTATGAGAAACTTAGTTCTTTTCTCATTGAAAATAATTTCATAAAAGGCAAGGTTGATACTACATTATTCATCAAGAATTTTGAAAATAATTTTCTCATTGTTCAAATTTATGTTGATGATATTATCTTTGGTTCTACGAATGAATCTATCTGTGAATCTTTTGCTAAAACTATGAGTCTTGAATTCGAAATGAGTTTAATGGGAGAGTTAACATTCTTCTTAGGTTTACAAATCAAACAACTAAGCAATGGCATCTTTATTAGTCAAACTAAATATGCTATGAATTTACTAAAGAAGTTTAATATGAAGAACTCAAAAGCCATTAACACTCCTATGAGCACCTCCACTAAGTTAGAAATTGATGAAAGTAGAGTAAGCTTTGATCAAAAAACTTATAGGGGTATGATAGGAAGTTTACTTTACCTCACTGCAACAAGACCAGACATCATGTTCAGTGTATGATAGGGGTATGATAGGACTTTATGCTAGATTTCAATCAAACCCTAAGATATCTCATCTCAAAGCAGTTAAAAGAATACTCAGATATCTTAATGGTACCATAAATCTAGGATTATGGTATCCAAAATCAGAGAATCTTGAGTTAATTGCTTATGCTGATGCGGACTTTGCTGGCTATAGATTAGATAGAAAAAGCACATCAGGAACATGTCAATTCTTAGGACATGCCCTTGTTTCCTGGTCATCTAAGAAACAAAACTCGGTTGCACTATCAACAACCGAAGCTGACTATATTGCAGTAAGTGCATGCTATGCACAAGTTGTATGGATGAAAAACACCTTAGAAGATTATAAAGTTCATCTTAAAAATATTCCAATTAAATGTGATAACACAAGTGCAATATGCTTAACAAAGAACCCTATACAACACTCAAGAACAAAACATATTGATATCAGACATCACTTTATACGAGATCATATTACGAATCATGATGTAATCATAGAGTTCATTGATACTAAACATCAACTAGCTGATATTTTTACAAAACCTCTAAGTGAAGAACAATTTGATTTTATAAGAAGAGAATTATGAATGTTGATGTGTCCGAATACTTAAACTAGTTAAAATTATTTTTCGGACTTTATTGAATGATCAATTCACCTGATTACTATTACATGCCTTGGTATCACTTGATCAAATAACATGTATGAAATTATGTTTTGTCCTTGAAAATCAGTAGCTTACTCATGTCCGAATGCATGGAAAAGTTTATCTCATTTTCGGATTTACTTAACAATTTGAATGCTAAAAATAGGGTTTTCCTGTACACTCTTATGTAATTTTTTTTAAAAAAAATGAGTTTCCTCTTTCATACACAAAGAATAATAACATACAAGGAGAAGAGGTATTCAAAGTATTATATGTGTCATGCCTTCCTTTATGTGCTTGATAACCTGCTTATATTGTTCTCCTGGAATCACATCTACCATGCTTTTTGTTGATGACAAAGGGGGAGAAATATATGAATTGATATGATGATATGGTTGCTATCACTTATGCTGATATGTTTGCTATCACTAATGTTGATATGGTTGCTATCACTACTGATGCTATGATTAGGCCATACTTGCATCACCAAGAAATATATGATTGCTATCACTACTATATGCCCTGTAACAAGATATCAAACAAAAATTTGCATCGTACGAACTGATATCTTACCATGTGATGCAATGCTACACTTGCTAAAATATTTGAAATGTGTACATCATGTAATGATATCAAAATCTTGCTTCACAGCTTTACATGTCGATATCTTACAAAATAATTGCTACAATTACCATCATTCAAACTTGTTATATTTGAAAATGAATGTCAAGCCTTGACATCATCTTCAAAGAGATACATCATGATAGGAATCATGATGGGAATATATCTCTTGAATTTATAAAGTTTTTAAATTCAAGAAGTATAGCATATAGACAGGGGGAGTTAAGATTAACTCCATTATCAATTGATTGTCATCATCAAAAAGGGGGAGATTGTTGAATCTCGGATTTTGATGATGAAATCAATTGTCAATTGTATGTCTAATATGTGTGTTGAGATAAGTGTGCAGGATTAACTACGATGAAAGTAAGACATGCAGCAGGAGTTGCGCCGGAGTCATGACAATGATCACGTTGGGAGTTCAAGAGCTCAACGGAAGTTCGGACAGTCGTCGGAGGTTCTGCAGGAACAAATCCGAGAAGTCCAGAAGCTTGCCAAAGGAGCTCGTCGGAACTTGCCAAGTGGATCGTCACAAGTCCAGGAGTTTGCCGGAAGTCCGCAGGAGGATCACCGAGGGTTCGTCGGATGATCGACGGAAGTTCGCCGGAAACTTACCGGAAGAAGCAATTGACGCACCGGAGCAAGCTGCAGAATATGTCTTAGGAAATAATCGTAGTTAGCACATTGATTAAGTTAGAAATGGGAGGTGATCCCATTAGCTTAATCTTGGGGCAATTGGGCCCCTGAAAGAATCAAATTGGGCCGAATGGATTAACCCATTCGGACCCTGATTGCTGTGGAAGGTGCAACCGCCCCAGCCAAGAGGTGGCACCGCCCCGGGCTCAGTCTCCGAGCGAGACTGGGCAGTGCAACCTCTTCTGTCAAGAGGTAGCACCGCCAGAGCTCAAGTTTCGAGCTCTACCAGGCGGTGCAACCTCCCCAGTCAGGCGGTGCAACCGCCTGAGCTCGGTCTTCGAGCTCTGGCAGAGAGGTGCAACCGCCCCTGATAGAGGTGGCACCGCCCAGAGGCTCAGTCTTCGAGCTCTGCTAGGTGGTGCAACCGCCCCAATCAGGAGGTGCAACCGCCCCAGTCAGGAGGTGCAACCGCCTGATCCCGGAATTCCGGGAATTGACAGAATTGAGCTCCAAATTTGAATTGGGTTGGGGCCTATAAATTCCCCACCCATTCAGCACTGAAAGCACAGAACACACACTCAAAATCTTA